GTCTGCCCGAGTCCACCTCTGCGCGGCCTGAGCAATGCCCCTCGGCCGTAATCTGCCCGAGTCCACCTCTGCGCGGCCTGCCCGCCTGAGCTGTGTCCCTCGGCCGTAGTCTGCCCGAGTCCACCTCTGCCCGGCCTACCCGCTTGAGCTGTGTCCCTTGGTCATAGTCTACCCGAGTCCACCTCTGCGTGACCTGCTCACCTGAGCTGTGCCCCTCGGCCGCAGTCTACCCGAGTCCACCTCTACACGGCCTACCCGCCTGAGCCGTGCCCCTCGACAGCAGTCTGCCCGAGTCCACCTCTGCGTGGCTTGCCCACTTGAGTCGTGTCCCTCGGCCGTAGTCTACCCGAGTCCACCTCTACGAGGCCTGCCCACTTGAGCAGTGTCCCTTGGCCATAGTCTTCTGAGCCCACCTCTACGCGGCCTGACCGCCTAAGCTGTGCTCCTCGGCCACGAACTGCCCGAGTCCAGCTCTGCGCAACCTGCCTGCCTGAGTCGCATACCTCGGTCGCAATTTACATGATCCCTACACCTCGGCGCCACCTGCTCGCCCGAGTCTTCTGCCTTGCTCAAGTCATACCCCACGGTCACACGTCGCACAGGACGACGGGCCAACAACCGACCATCGCGACCCTCTGGGAAACCTCCCCGGCATTAACCAGAGGGCAAACCGATAGAAACAACCACTTAAAGCAGAAGCCACGCCTCAGACCCCCCTAACAACAGTCAATGCATGGCTCCCTCCGGGGGGAGGGAATGATGAGGATAATAATAATGATGGGACATGAACTAACGTCACCTGCTCCCGGATGATGTCTACTAGGTCACGTAGACTGAGCAGTTGCAGGGGTTGCCTGCCTCGGTCTGACCTGACAGCGCTTGGTCGAAGTAGACCAAAACGCCGACCGAGGCACGTCGCCATCCTACAAGAGCCTAGTCCTTCACGCAACGCCAAATGCCAGTGTCAGACGTTATCCAAGGTACGACCCTGCTCCCTGCAAGTGGGCACATTAGGAAACAGTGATTTTCCCTATAAAAACCCTCGCGTTCGGAACGAATTGGGGGAGAAAAATAAGAAAAACCCCCTGAGACTATCGACTGACTTGATCGTCGGAGGGGTCGGGCTGAGCTCTACCGACCCGACCTATGTGCAGGGACGAAGACGAAGTGCCTACCACCGAAGGCCTAGGTGAGGGGTCCCCTCCCAGAGAAAATAGTGACCCCGTCATGATCGGACCACCGCGGTCAGCTACCTCAACAGTCTCAAGGGTCATTCAGCAAGATCTCCAATCATTCGGACCCGAACCCAACCGTATTGGTCCCGAGGCCAC